GCTCCCCATTGACATCAGGACGGCAGATAGCTTGCACATCTTCCGGCGCAAACTGAAAACTCATCTCTTTCGACTCCACTTCGAGCGTTAGAACGATTAACGAAGCACTTTTATACTAATAAAAGACTGGATTACCTAAAGCCAGTTGAGTAGCACTTGAAATGTTTAGCTCTATGAAACCTGATATACTTATATGATTCTGTTTTCTTCAAGGTTGTGTCTTCCTGGTCGAATGTACTTATTGTAAGTCGCTTTGGACAAAAGCGTCAGCTAAATGCAATGTAATGTAATGTAATAAATAAATGTATTACTTCATAACTAGTTTACTATCAGGCTTCTACAAAACTGACCCTAAGTAATTTGTTGTTTTATGATAACCCATGCATATGAAATTATCTTGTGGCTGTTTTTATTCATTGTGTTTTTCAGTCGGAGAAAATGGGAAGACACCTGGGAGCCTGCCAGTCAATTCAGTGTGTGTGTGTGTGTGTGTGTGTGTGTGTGTGTGTGTGTGTGTGTGTGTGTGTGTGTGTGTGTGTGTGTGTGTGTGTGTGTGTGTGTGTGTGTGTGTGTGTGTGTGTGTGTGTGTGTGTGTGGGTGTGGGTGTGTGTGTGTGTGTGTATTTTTGTATTCTGATTACGTAACGCCGTTACATGTATTCCGTTACAACCCAACCCTGCTTCTAGGCTACTGTCCCGCCGCAGCTCCTGCCTCTCTGTTGGACTGTCGCAGCGGGGCTGCTGCTGTGGTGCGGAGCGCATTAACCAGACTCTTCACAACGAAGGATCACTTCTTCTTCAAGGGAGGGAAGGTTTCGCAGTACGCAGTCTACTGTCCCGCAGCTGCTGCCTCTCTGTTGGACTCCGGTACTGCACCTTACTCACGGGACGTTGTAAAAAAAAAAAATGGGTGGGGGGCGAACGCAGTAACCACTCCGCCAACGCCACAGTCACCCCCGTCGTGCGGGCCGGATGAGAATGTCTGGCGGGCCGGATGTGGCCCGCGGGCCGCCAGTTGGTGATCACTGGTGTACAGAAAGCTTTAAAAAGTGATACCTTGACACCTACAGAGCACTGGGCATACAGTTTGCAGCACTGTCTATGGATGTCTTTGTCATCTGTGAGATCATCAGAGATATAATGACCGAGGTTCTTCATCTCACTGCACTCAAGAAGAATGTTGCTACTGAGAATACAATGAGGACATACAGCCTTTTTATCCTCTTTACTTCGCACAATCATGATGCTACTCTTCTTGGCGTTATACTTCATATTCAAATCAATGCCAGACTGGGAGCAAGTCCTCAGAAGCTGTTGTAAGCCAGCACTGCATGGGGAGAAGATTAAATCATCTGCGTACATAAGGTGGTTGACAACAGTAGCTCCGATGACACAGCCAGTTTTACACAAGTTCAGTTTCCTCGACAGATCATCCAGGTACAGATTAAACAACACAGGAGATCAAATCCCACCTTGCTTGACCCCATTACCAACATCAACATGTTCAGACACAGTATGGCCCCACTTCACCTCATAGTCTGATGTGCATACCAGAAGGCTAAGATCCTTATTATGTACTTGGGTTTCCGCTCTCTGGCACATGTTGTCAAATCATTTGAAGTGATTCAGTCGATCAAATGCCTGGAAGCATCAATACAACACAGAAACAAGGTGGAATTATGGCTTCTATATTTGTGCTATAATGTCTTTTAAAGCAAAAATACACATATCTGTGCCGTGTTTACTTTTAAAACCAAACTGGTTGTCAGCTGTGGTAATATACCTTTCCAGCCTATCCAACAGAATGTTCTCCAGCACTTTGGAGAGAATGCTAGCTAAAGCAATGGGTCTGTAATTATCAATGCCATTAATCTTCCCAGCTTCATCCTTGGTGACTGGCACAAGTAGCACAGATAACATGGAATCTGGTAAGACACCATGATTAAGGAAACCAGTAGAGCAAGAAGAGGAGCAAGCTTAAGACTGGCATGTTTGAAGTGTTCGGCTGAGATGAGATCCGGGCCACAAGCTTTGTTCTTTTCTAGATTCATTATAGTGTTGTAGACTTCCTCTGATCTAACTGTAACGTTTTCAGTGGAGTCAACCTTTTCAACCACAAATGCATCACTCTTAACTCAGTTGAACAACTCCTGATAGTGTTGTCGCCACAGTTCTGCGATGCTGCCTGACCCACACACTCCTTCAATGGAAGACGGTAAGGGAGTCTTACAGCTGTTTATGACTTTGACCTCTTTCCAGAAACCATGGCAACTATTGTTGCGCAGCTCACATGTTCATTCCATCCAGGTTTTATACTATGCTCCTTTTTTCTTACTGTTGTAAAAACCCCTACTTGAGGCATTTAACACATCAATAATAAGATCATATGTAAAACATAGATCACTACCATGCTGCGCATTGTTACAGTTGGTGTCACTGCACAGCATTGCTTCTCTAGGAATTACAACCAAGTATGTAGCGTCTCTACTTTGTTTCTACTTTGTAGAGACACTATATGTTGTGATTGGTCAACTGCTGAGAGATGTCCCGCCCCTTAGTCTATCACTTACAATGTGTTGGAGCAGCAATGAAACACACTACAGGAAAGGGCCTCTTTAAATCATTTTTAAACTAACTAGAAATTGTGGAATTTCACTGGGAATTTGTTTCCACTGTTTTAAATATAATGGTGTGTGTGTGTGTGTGTGTGTGTGTGTGTGTGTGTGTGTGTGTGTGTGTGTGTGTGGTGTGTGTGTGTGTGTGTGTGTGTGTGTGTGTGTGTGTGTGTGTGTGTGTGTGTGTGTGTGGTGTGTAAAAATACCAATTTGTTTTATTAAAACATTTCCCTTTTTGCAGCATGGAGTCAAATGCTTCAATATTGTACTACTACACTACATTTCAAATAGATATAACCCATGAAATAATATTATAAATATTTAGGGATTGAGATTGTGAAATCTAACAAGTACCTTTGTGTTCATCTGAACAATAAACTGGACTGGTCGGATCACTGCTGCTATCTACAAGAAGAGACAGAGCAGACTGTATCTGCTGAGGAGACAGGTATTTTGGAGTGCAGGGGGCACTACTTCAGACTCGCAGATGCCTTCATCAATAAGACTCTGGTCAATCCCAGTAATGAAGTCGGCGAGCCAGAGTCTTTTCATTAACGCGTTGTAATTGTTTCTGAAGAAAAAATCGGGCATGTCATTCAGAAAATCGTGTTGCCTCTGGCCGGGGTGACTGACTCGGCATCCGTTACATATTTCTTCTCTGTACCGATGTATTACCCTCTCCACAATATCAACCAACACCGATTTCACTGTGTCCATAAACAGACGTTTTGGCCCAAGGAGCAAAATCAGCAGCAGCAGTAGTACTGCAAGATTCGGGTGTCCAAAATGGTGGTGATGATGGTAGTCCAGGAGTCTGCTCCTGGCTGCAACTCGCGGGGGAGACTTGGTTTTTCTCAGATCCATGGCTAGTTTTCAACGGTCGTCTTAGTGGGGTCCTTAGTTTTAGATGATTTGCTGAGTGGAGGGTGGGGCTTATTGCGTTGAATTCTACAGTCATCTGTAGAATTGAGAGTTTAAAAAAAAGTTCTTTAAAGGAGACCTATCATGCTATATTTAAATGATATAGTGTATGACCATACATAAGACCATAAGATCACAGACCATAAGGTATATTTATACATTTTATTTTTCAAAATACCAAACGGATCATTTTTTAGCCATGCCTCGTTTCGCTCATTTTCGCTCTTTTCCAAGCCTGTCTTTGAAAATGCTGAGCAGCAGCTGACCACGCCCCCCTGCAGAAGAGCGGGGCATGCGCCGGCGAGAGTCACGTTACCATGCTTGCTGTGATTACGTGTGGAATAAACATGTCATCTCAGAGCAATGCATGTGTTCAAGCATATTATGAATTGGATCCAGAGACTGACCCTGAAGCAGCGGAGGTTTTGGTGGAGGTGGAAACATCTCGGTTGCAGCAGGACGTTTCTGAATGGTTAGTTGACAAGCTGTTGTCCCTATTTATTTTACTCTGTTACGATGCTTGCTACTTATTCCGTTCATATGTTGGCTAATTAGCAAGAATGCAATGTGTACAGTTTGTAACTTATAGTTTGTAACGCAAAAACAGCAATAGGCCTACATATTTATAAAGGGAGACATTCATATTTTCAGCATATATACAATGGCCTAATTGCGTTTATTAATAGTTTACAGTCCTTTTCTTCCAACATCGTGCAACAACCGTTGGAAAGTTCAATAACTTAGGGTGATAAAAAGTATAACTCCAACAACACCTCAGTTGTCAGCAATGTGTGTAGTTTCATGTGTTTTTAAAATCTCAGTTATTGACTTCTTTCTACAGGTGTACATTGCGCCACGATGCCTTCTGAACCGGAGAATGTGTGCTGCATGGAGATACCACAGGTAACATTTTTGATAGCTTCACTAAGTTGCCTGTTTAGAGAATACATTTTTAACATGTCATTCAATATATCTTTATCACACTAGGTGTCAAGACGGATGCAGGAACTTGAAGACTCTGTTAACTGTATGGTGGACCATCCTGGATTGGAGCCTGTGTGCCTGAATGTGTTCTCCCTGCAGAATGCATTTAATATTTACAGAGCTGAACATGGTGGACTACAGTTGAGGCAAATAGAGCAGTGAGTGGTTTGTTTCTTTTGACTGAAATTGTAAAACGAATGCTAATATTGTTCATGGAAATAAATACTGGTGTATATTGCTTTATGCAATCTTTCATTGTACATGTACTATTATATATATATATATATATATATATATTATTACACAGCAATGGCATAACACACCCAAGTGTACGACAAAAAAAGTCCACACACAACCTTATGCTTTTGAAATCAGAATATTCTTTACCCATCCAAACATAAATAATCACGACACATTTGATATCAACTCTGAACTTTATTGTCAAAATCAACGGTTCTTTGAACCCATAAAAAAAAACTAAATGTACTTGTATTATATATAAATGACACTAAATATATTTTTTAATGATTTCAGGCGTCACAGGTATCTAGCCTACAGAAGCTTTGTGAGCTGGTGCTGGGGCTTCCTTGGACGCAGGATCAGAGTGGTGATTCCGGCCTGCGTTGTCCTCAGGATTCGCAGAGAGTTTCCTGATCCGCGAAATATCTATGTTGGGTTCAGACAGCAGCCAAATTGAACCGAGTAGCATACCCGGAGATGACCTCCTCCCTGTCAGGTCGCTCATATTGGGAACACAGGTCCTCTGGGATGGGTATCTTCAGAAGCTCCTGTGTGAATGGTGCAGGGTCCACAAAGACTTGGTCGAAGATGAGGTCCATCAAGTTGGCCACGTAGCCTGTGCAATGTTAAAAAAAGCACAACAAAAAATGTGGTTTACATTAGTATATGCATGTACAAAACTGAAAGTTCTTTTTAATTTATTTATTTTATATTTGTAAATAGTTGTATAATAAATATTTTAAACACTTACGGAATGTGGGGTCAGTCTTTACTGGTTTTGCTCTGCATTCTCCCTTCCTGGCCTTTGGGAACTGCAGTTTATATAGAGGCTTTCCAGTGGATGTAGTGGCTTGTGCACGCTCAGCGTTTTCATTGTAGTGCAGGGCTGCCAGGTACAGTCTTTCATTTCCGCCATGAGTAAAAAAAAAATGTAAATAATAGCAAAGGATGTACAAATTGTCACTAATTAGTAAGTAACTATGGTTTATTTTACCTGCACAACATTCCAAGAAATGGAAACACAACATTCTTTGGAGCAAAGCGCAGGATGACGGCATGGAATGACTCTAAAGATGAAGTCTGGTGGTGTGGGCTGAGTTTGGCCACAGCTTTCAAAATCCTCTTGGTTGAGAGAATTGTCTCCAGCTTGTGAAAGGCCGGCGTTCCTAAGAATGTGAAAATCAAAGTCATATTTGAATTGTCATGCTTTATAGATTGTGTCTGACAACATCCTGTATTCAATAGTTGTCCCTTACAAATATTTATAGAGGAGTAATGTAATATGGTTTATGAACAACATACCTGCAGCCATCCATTGGTATTGCGCAATGCGCAGTGGATGAAGGCACTTGGGGAACAGGGGGTTATCATGAGAGTGGATATCCTGCACGTGGTTCAGGATGGAAGTCCATTTGGCCACTCTCTCAGGCCCGGTGGTGGAGGTTGCTGCAGTCCAGTATATGTGGTTTCTTATACTCTTCACCCACCCTCAAAGTTTTTCGCAGTCCTTTTTTGCAGCCTTCTCCAGTTGCTTAGAAATCCCTAATAAATACATTTAACATGTAGTTAATATACATACAAGTTTACTCAAAATATTATTATACTAATGTGATTGTAGGAAGCCGGGTTTGTGTCTAAATAAAATAATGATTGTATTTACAATCGATTTATTTACATGGAAATTAATATAAAGAAAAATACCTTTTTCTATGTGCCACACATCAAAGAATTGGGTGATGCTGCTTTCCCTTAGGAACTTCTGAATTTGCAGATGTCTGTCCGTGACAATACAGTCCAGAGTCACACCACGTTCCTTTAACAACTCCAGACTCCTTTTCAGGCCCTCTAACTCCATGTGGTAGCTTCCACCAACCTCATTGCTCTGTTATGACACATACAATCAATGTCAATCAATCAATCAATGTTTATTTATATAGCCCAATATCACAAATGTTACATTTGTCTCAGTGGACTTTACAGTTTGTACAAAATATCAGTATGACAATACGACACCCTCTGTCCTTAGACCCTCACATCGTACAAGGAAAAACTTCCGGAGAAAACCCACAGTTTAAAGGGAAAAATGGGAGAAACCTCAGGGAGAGCAACAGAGGAGGGATCCCTCTCCCAGGACGGACAGACGTGCAATAGATGCCGTGTGTAAATTGAAAAGATAATACATTTGCAACATAGGTAGTCCAAATGTTTGGAAATGCATGTGTGTATAATAGGAAGATGAATCCACGAGGATATCCATCCAGGACCTATGATCCAGGACCACAGCCACGACTCAAGATCCAGGGCTCGCGATCCAGGACAGAGGAGCGCAGGATCATCCATGACTCCGGATCCCGGCGTATATAGACACCAAAAAGAAAGACATTTGGGGAAGCTGGGTTAATGGGAACATGAGAGTACACAGGTATAGACAGAGAGAAGGAAGAAGTAAGATATCCCCCGACAAACTAAGCTTATATCAGCAAAACTAGGGGCTGGATCTAATCAGCCCTAACTATAAGCTTTATCAAAAAGGAAGGTCTTAAGCGCACATACAAATAACCATTGATACACACATTTTAAATATAACGTGCAAACAGTGTTAAAGAAAAAAACATTGATATTTCCTTTCACCCCACTTACCTGAACCAACTGGAGGTCAACGACTTTGTTGTTCTTCAGGTCCATCATAGTGTAGCTTCCGAACTTTGCAGAGTGGCCTGTGAAAATATGTTTTACAGTAATTACTTTTCTCTGCGGATGGTGAATTTGTATTTTTGCTTGTAGTGTTTAGCATATGTTTTTCAGGAACCATTAATTGAACAAATCACACATAGTGAAACCCCTTTCTGAAATGTAAAATGTGAATTATATAAAAAATACATACCTGGGGAGTCAGCCCTCATATCACCACCAACTATCACTTTCTCCTCTGCATGGAGCTTCTGTAGCATGCCTTCCTGTGATTTTTGCCAGTAAGAAACAATCGCTGGCTCAATCAACATCCTGGCATGCCTTCGGAAGGTGTTGTATTTGCATAGCTGCATATTCATTGCTTTGAAGACCTAATGGTTGAAAGAAAACCGCAAGAATACATTTTAATCTCAAAGATCACCTGTAGATGTGTCAATGAGGAGAACCTGGAAAGTGCAAATGAGCTGCCCTTTTTTTAAACAGGGAAAGAGCTGAACATGTCATTAGGGGTGCTTACTCTACAGTGCCCCTTTCACATCTCTTCTCTTTCTCCACACCACCCTCCCAAAAGATCTTTACATATTAGCATGGGTCGTTACCTAACAGTGCCCTATTCCCACCTTTTCTCACTCTTGTTATTGTTACCTTGTCCTATCTTATTCAACAACAACATTTGCATTTTCAAACATTGGCAATACAATCTTCTGCAGTTAATTTACCTTTGAAAGTTTGTAGAAAGATGCTCCGTTGACATATGTTGCAACTGATAGCTGCAGGTTTCCAACTGGAGTACTCCCAAGAACAGGCTGGCTATTCCAGTTTTCTTGTAAACTGACAATGGGGGCACAGCTGCTGCACTGATATGAATGTACCGATCCTTCTGGTTTGTACATTACACACACGCTTGCACACAGGACATGATTCAAAAAGCTCCATGAGGCAGGTCTCATACACGATGTATGTGTTGATCGTCTGGGGGGGGTTTTGTTCTTGACCACTAAAACAAAAAAATAGAAGTTAAGATCCATCACACAGATTGTTGCTTTAGAGATCTTTGGTGTTTCCCTATTATCAATGTTTGAATTATATACAGCAAAAAATACAATACATAGACAAACTCACACATAGTGATATTTCAGTAACTTACGACATGGCTGTTGTTTCTGTAGCATTTGTTATGGATTCTGCTGGATCATAAGTTGCATCCTGGCCTTCGGAAAACACCAAAGAAGAGCTTCCCTCAAATGGATCTTCGTATTCCTCTTCAAGATCCACACGGGGCCTCTTTGGTGGTCTCTTTAAGGGGGTGGATGTTAAAAAGGGCACTGGCACTTCCAACGGAAGTGTTTCGACACCAACGCTTCTGCAGGGAATTTTAGCCTGGACAGCTGTAACATAATTATATTTGACATTAAAAACAAAACAAAAGATAAAACAAAAATATTTTTACAACAATTAGAAGCACACAAATTAAAGGCTACAACATCAGAATGTCAAGATGTATCCAAAGAACATTTGAAAAACGTGCTTCTAACCTGTACTTCGATGTGAACCAAGAGTCCTCGAGGATAGCTGTGTACGAACAGTACGGTACTTGGGTGGGTCAGTCTGACATGCAGAATCTGTCATCACAGGTGATCTGCTGGTAGCATGTGAGGTGCTGGCCTGTAAAGAAGAAAACAAAATCATCTCAATTTAGTATTCAGGATGAGAAAATACTATTTGGATAAATATCGTCTGAAATCCCAAAAGATGGGGCTAAAACTCTCTATTTAGCAAAGCTCTTTGCTTAGCCTTTTCCTATCTGAGTTAGTTTTGAACCGTAACGTGCATGCTGTGTTTCTGACTCAATACAGATGATGTGTTGGAGAGGGGCTGAGCTCAGTAGACTGACTGTAATGAGTGCTAGCCACTAATTAGCCTGTTGCTAGGTAAGGCCTTGTCAACAACAACAGACCAACGGGGCTTTAGTTCTGTTTTACTCATGGTGTGTGTGTCCCCTCACATACATACACACAGTGTTGTATCCTAACACATCCCCATTTATATTCATGTGCGCAAACAAGTAAACATACAAAAGCTTTTACATATAACGCTGCAAAAAACGGCATGTCTCATTAGCGTAGCGTAGCTTAGCTTACAGATCTGATCGTTCTTACAGACTACAATCACAAAAGCTTTTACATATAACGCTGGAGAAAACGGCACTTACCTACAGAAGATTACGTTTGTTATTATAACTTACTCAATATGATTTTAGAGGATACAAAATACTAATAAATAGGAGAATAAATACTTGTGTTATCGGCTAGGGCGTGGCTTTACAGCCTTCACACAGATCGCCATTACGGCAGTATGTCTGAACATGTTAGCAAATGCCTGATAATTAAAATAAAAGACAAAGCAAAGACTGCGGAGCGTACAATATAAAATGTTATAAAAACATATAAACACCTAACCGATTACTATTTGGGTTTGAGGCGACATTGATACGGCGAAGCTACATGCTACATGCTACATGCTACATACTACAAGCTAGAGATAGCTTTATCAGGAAAAACACCGCTAAATAAAAACTTACAGCTTCAAAATTGGATGTGTCCTCACTGGCCTGCTCCCGGATGGTTGGTATTGATCCCGGGTTTAGCATTAGTTTGGAGGCATATCCGTGTTGGACTTGAGAGAAGTTCATAAACATGTCCGTGGTAAAATGTTTGGAACACACAAACAGAAATCTGCCGTGGTCTTCTGGCACATGTCCCTTGAAAATGAAGTCTAGCCACAGATTATTTTCTTTTTCCACTGATGGCATTGCATGCAGCAAGGGCGCCGGAAGCGGGGGGGCCAGGGGGCCATTGGCCCCCCCACTTTTCAGCCCTGCCCCACATTTTCACAGCAGCAGATTTTTTTTTTCTTTTTTTTTCTTCTTTTCAGTCTTTATTTCGAACAGATTCAAAAATAACAAATAAAAAATAACAAATGTGAAAAACAGAATACCGTATTGTTATAATACAGTATTTATCCACATTCATGGTAATATTTGTATATTCAACAAAAAAAACAAAAGTCTTCATATTAATAATAATAATAAATCATATGTGTCCGAAAGGGAGTAGGAGGAAGCAAATGCTTATTAATTCCCACACCTTACTTGATCAATGATTGTCCTTTAAATCATTATGCAAGTTATTCCTACTTAGATTTACATTTATACATACATATACAATAATTTCTCGTCTTCAATCACCTTTCTTCATTCCCATATTTTTCCAAAAAAGTGTTTCTGTACATCCTTTTAAACTGAATTATGCTTGTGCTTTGTTTGAACTCCTGCTCCAAACCATTCCATAAAATCACCCCACAGATTGTTAAACTCATACTTCTCAGAGTTGTTCTGACCTTGAGTTGTTTAAAATGTAGATTTCCTCTCAAATTATACCCACCCTCTCTGTCTATGAACAATGTTTTTAATTTCCTAGGAAGTAGATTATGTCTGGCTCTGTACATGATTTGTGCCGTTTTAAATTTAACCAGATCAATGAACTTCAATATGTGTGACTTCAAAAAGAATACATTAGTGTGTTCAAGATATCCAACATTATTGATAACTCTTATAGCCCTTTTTTGTAATGTGCATAACGGCTGTAGGTTGGTTTTGTACGTGTTTCCCCAAATCTCCACACAGTAAATCAGATATGGCAATATAAGTGTGTTATATAGAGTATACAATGAGTTATAGTCCAGAATGTATCTGGCTTTTCCCAATATTGCGATAGTTTTAGCCAGTTTTGCTTTTACATGAGTGATATGAGGTTTCCAGCTGATTTTGTGGTCTAAAACCACACCAAGGAACTTAATTTCATATACTCTTTCTATGTGTATGTTATCTAGTATTAATTGTATCTGTGGATTTGTTTTATGTTTTCAACAAATTCAACAAATTGTTGTCTGTTGCTTAAATAATCTCTCACCCAGTTTAATCCCACCCCTCTGATGCCATACCGTTCCAGTTTTATCAGTAAAATATTGTGATCTATGGTGTCAAATGCTTTTTGTAAGTCTATAAATATTCCCACTGCTTGTTTTTTATTGTCCATGCAGTTTGCTATTTCCTCACTTAATTCCATTAGTGCCATCGATGTTGATCTATCTTTCCTGAATCCATATTGACTGTCGTCCAAAAGCTGATGTGTTTCCATGAAACTGTGCCGTTTCAATAATTCCCCTCTACCCTAAAGTCGCATCTAAAACGTGATCTGATCTAGCTGTGTATATTTTGTTATTTTTGATTGTTATATTCAATCTCATTAGCTACAGGCATGTTTGAAGCTTGTAAAAGGAAGATGACAGCTCTCGCCACTCTGCTGTTCCTCAGCGCCGCCCCCCTCCCGCCCGCTGAAATTATGAATGTAAGGTGTAGAGTAATCATAGATAACATGGCAGGGTCCGTTACAGTTGGTTTTTATCTGATTTCAAATAAGCAAAGTCTTGGGTTTCAGAATATTAAACTTGTTTCGGCAAATTCAGATGATAAATAGGCCTACAACTTTGAAGCTTGTGACGGCATAATTACAAGCGGAGAACGGAGTAACTTAACGTCACAGCAGGCATAACAACAGCCGGTGTTTCTCGTGAGTGCAGTAATCCAAACGAAAATATCTTTCCTCCGTAGTATTTTGATCATTTGCTCCGCTAATAATCAATCATGATGATTGATGATGAGAAATGATGGATTCCAGAGAAGAGAAAACTTTAAAGGCCTTTTTCTCAAAATGATGACTCTGTAACAGTCATTATATAATGTGACATATTTTGCTTAATATTTGGAGTACAAAAACAATCCTGATATCATTAGAAAGCTAGGAATCAAAATATGTCTTCGGGTCAATGCGACTGATTTCGATGGAGCAGCAGGTAACTTTGCATTAGGTAAAATAAAGCAGGCAGACATAACAGGAAGAATATGTACATTTTAACCCAATCAAATAGGACATTGTCACACCATTCAAATGTATCCATGTAAATTACAACCAATAAAAAAGCTTAGATTTGTTTATTTGTTACGTTGTTTACTTTATTTGTTACGTTGTTCTGTGTGTGTCAGCCGTTAACCTAGAAATAATATATACACTTGCAAACATGTCAGAAGAACCAGCGCAGAAGAAAACTAAATGTGACCCGCTCAATCGAAATCAGTCGGAAGTCGCAACGGCTCATTCAGAATAAACGTGGATTTACGTAAAAAACTATTTTTTCAGGG